ACATCAACAATTTCTTCCCGCAAACGGAATTCTGCATGCTCTGGAGTTGGTACATCGCAAACGATACTCAATTCTACATCTTGGCCTCGATTATTCTGGTGGTTGCGGTGAAGTAAGTCTTATAGTTTAGATTTAGAAAAACGTGCGATATAAACATTATTTATCTTTGCAGAGGCGAGAAACATCTTAGGTATGCTGGAGTATCGATAGGTTTCTTCTTGGTGGCGTCTTGGATAACAACATTCGTGATAGCTATGAAATATAACTACGTAGCTCGAGTGGAAGAACCTTTCGCCCTATTTGATCAATTATATGACAAGCCTTGGATGCGCATCGGACCTTACCTAATAGGGATGCTCACAGGATACCTTCTTTTTAAAAAACAGACGCGCGTGAAATTGTCTTTCCCGATCGTTTTAACAGCTTGGCTCCTTTCCATCGCCTGTCTACTCAGTTTAGTCTATGGTTTCGGACGGGAAGGCATATTGCCTCCTTTGTCTGCTATTTACGTAAGTGCTATGACTAACCAACCGGCGAAGATAAGTAAAAATATATTTTATTTGTAGGCGGCTTTGGGACACACAGCATGGGGAATATCTTTGGCTTGGATAACAGTTGCCTGCTGCTGGGGTTACGCAGGTCCAGTCGGCCCGATCCTAGCCTTCCGTGGATTCTTGCCACTCAGTAGATTAACCTACTGCGCCTATTTAATTCATCCAGTTCTGATGGTGATCACTAGCTTCACCATGGATGGTCCATTGTATCTCTACCAAGTGAACGTCGTAAGTTTCCGAAGATATTAAAAGGAAGCTCAAATAGTAATACAAATTTACCAATTTCAGTTAATCATATTCTTGGGAAACTCTGTCGCATCATTCCTGTTGGCATTGATAATCTCACTAATGTTCGAGGCGCCGGTCGTTCGATTGCTCAAAGCTCTCTTAGCACCAAACTCAAAGAAGGATTGAAAAGCTCTATTCGAGCCATTGTAAATAGTCTATTTTTTATAAATTTGTATATAATAAGTGTGAAATCGTTACCATTATTCTATAAGAAATAAAAATTTAAACAAAAAAAAACAGTAAATTTCATTATTTTTTATAAATATCTTATTGTAAACAAAACAATATACAATATAATTAATCTATAAACCTAAAACCCGGGTACAACCCTGCCGCGTTTCGCAGCCTGTTTCAGTTTCACCAATTTCTTATCTTTCTTCTTCTTGTCGATATTGTCCTGTCGTTTCTTCTGTTTATCTTCTTGCTGTTGCTTAACATTCGCTTTCCTCTGGTCCCACTTCTTTTTGCTTTGTTTTTTCTGATTCTCCTTCTTCTTGATGGCCTTCTTTAACAGCGTTACATCGTCCTTAACCTTCTCACCCTTTGATTTAGCCAAAGCATTTTGCCACATACTCTTTTCCTTAATTTGAATAGCCTTGTCTTTATCTCCCTGTTTCTCAAGCTCTTTCAGCTTCTCTTTTTGTTTCTCAAGATTCTCCAATATCTTTTTAGGATCATTCTGTGTCTTCTCTTTTTTCTCTTTACCTATACCAGAGAAATCAAATTTCGAGTACACCATTTTTCCTTCACTGTTAAACACTGGTTTCTTTGGACCCTGCTCAACATTGTCTTCCTCGGATTTCACTGGTTTTGTTAACTTCTCGGTTCGCACCAACTTCTTCTTCAAGTTTCTCTCATCCCGTTTTGTTTTCTTCTTCATACGATTCTTAAGACCTTTCTTCTGCATTTTTTCTTTGTATGTCTGGTGCTTTTTACCTGATATCTCATCATATCTATTCTTTAATTCAGCAATGGAAGTGGCGCGAGATTTCTTTTCACCAGCAATCTTTGGCTTCTTGCCTGAGAATGTGACCAGGTCGTCATCCTCATCTTCCTCGTCGTTATCTTCGTCTAACAAATAATAAACATTAATAAAATTTTATTGAAAATGCTTTTTGAGCCACTTACCATATCTGTCTGGAAACGCAACCTTTGCAAATAAATCTGTTATAAACTTGTTTTCGGCGACCAACGATGCTTCAACCTTCTTCAGATCGAAAGCAACTTTCTTTTGATCTTCTTTCAGCTGCATTTTATTCACATTTATCCACAGAACACAACTAAACAACTAATCAAAAAACCTCGTGGTGTTTTGGTGTTGCGTGTTTATTTTATTTTAGTTGGTAGCTCTGGAGTTTGAAGTAAAAGATGAAAGATTGTTGTACTAATTTGGTTGCCTATAATAAATTCTTCTTAATTACTACCCTTTTTGTGCATATAAATTACAAAAAAAATAACAATTTTAATGACTAAAACAAGTAAATATCTAATATTTTTGTATTTTCTTATTATTTATATATTTTTGTAGCATGATCAAAATAGACAATATTTTTTCAATTTTCACCCTTATTTATACCACCCTTGCAGTGATTATCGACATTACCATTTCAATTGAATTTCTATCTTTGATTTTTATAGGATACAAACCCAATAAATCATATTTATACAATGTCATGTACTTCAAATAATTTGATATATACAACCAGTTTAACACATCGTAGGGTTTTCCCCTGATTGTATTTCTTGAATGGCTAATTTAATAATTATTGGATGAAAAGATGCATTAAAAAAATAATTAAACTTTAAAATTATTTTAAACAATAAATTGTTGCTTAGTAATACGGGTTGCGGGTAGCTCTTTACAACTTGGAATCTATACTTGTTATTTTTATATTTGAAATTGGAAGGAGTTATGTAACGCTATTATCAGTGTGTTTTATTTAAGTAACACTTTGCAATGCGCATGTAAAGAATGTTGTAATCAGCTGATATTATCGTAAATAACTCGTTTAACCTTCATTCAACAGTAACGAAGAAAACGTTAAAGATGAACTTCGCCGGAAAAGTGGTTTTGATAACCGGCGCCAGTTCCGGAATTGGGGCTGCAACGGCGAAGCACTTCGCTAAATTGGGAGGAAGTTTAGCGTTGGCTGGAAGGAATAAAGAGAACCTGAGCAAAATAGCAGCAGAATGCAACGCGAAAGATCACATCGAGCTGACCGGAGAGTTGACCAACGAGAATGACACTAAAGCAATCTTAGAAAAGACCATCGAGCGTTTCGGAAGATTAGACGTGCTGGTGAACAATGCAGGAATCATTGAAACCGGAAGCATAGAAACCACCACCCTCGAGCAATACGATCGTTTGATGAACATCAACGTGCGTTCGATCTTCCATTTGACCAGTCTTGCTGTTCCACATCTCATCAAAACCGAGGGTAACGTCGTCAATGTATCCAGCGTTAATGGAATCAGATCATTCCCAGGAGTCTTGACTTACTGTGTATCGAAAGCGGCCGTCGATCAGTTCACCAGATGCACAGCTCTCGAATTGGCCACGAAGAACGTTCGAGTCAATTGCGTTAATCCCGGGGTAACGGTGACCAATCTTCACAAGAGAGGAGGAATGGGCGAAGAGCAATACAAGGAATTCCTGAAGAGGACGAAAGACACGCATGCCATGGGACGACCCGGACAACCGGAAGAAGTCGCCAATGCAATCGTTTTCTTGGCTAGTCAACACGCTAGCTTTATAACCGGAGTTTCCGTTCCTGTCGATGGTGGCCGCCACGCCATGTGCCCCAGATGAAGAAACAACTTTTGAAATAATTTCATACGCTTTTCTTACATTTTATACAATACATATCAAATAAAACGCAGCTTTAAACACTTTACCTTGCTCTCAATAATAATGATATTGATGTAACTTAACTACAAAATTCAGTCGTAACTCGGGGTACGTCCGTAAACAAACAATAACAGAAAAATATATTTTTATTAGGCAACCAAATATACACGATATCAATTTATCTTGGACACATTGCATGACGACCTCCGTCGACGGGAATGGATGCACCGGTAATATTACTGGCAGCATCGCTGGCTAAGAAGGCAATAGTTGTAGCAACCTCTGAGGCTTGACCAGGACGTCCTAATGCATGAGTAGTTTTGCATCTCTCCAGGAACTGCTCGTACTGCTGCTCATTCATGCCACCCCTCTTGTGCAGCTCAGTAACAATAACTCCAGGATTGACAGCATTAACTCTGACTCCCTTTGAAGCCAAATCCAATGCCACACACTTGGTGAACTGATCGACAGCTGATTTGGACATGCAGTAAGCAACCAAACCATTTGCTGCCCTCAGTCCAGCTACACTTGAGACATTCACTATGTTTCCTTTGGTCTTGATCAGATGCGGCACGGCCAGCGTTGTTATGCAATAAACGGCCCTCACGTTCGTGTTGAAGACCCTGTCGTACTGCTCAACATTGGTTTCCTCGATGCTACCGGATTCGATGATTCCCGCATTGTTGATCAGAACGTCCAATTTTTTGTAGTGGCTCAAAGTCTTTTCGATTATGGATTTCACGGCTGCCTCCTCGTTTACGTCTCCTACAAGTATCAGGGGTTTGTGTCCTTCGCATTCATCGGCCACGGCCTGCAGGTTCGCCACATTCCTTCCGGTTATCGCTATCTTCGCACCTTGCTTAGATAAATAAAGAGCAGTGGCTTTTCCGATACCGGAACTTCCGCCTGTTATCAACACTACTTTATCAACGAATGACATGTTTACTCTAGACTGACACGCTATCGAATGTGTGTATCAGTGTGTATTTTGCTCAATTTTACTTGATTCGCTTAAATGTTAAATAAATTGTATAACTAATAGGATATTAAAGGCAAGCGGGAAACTTAAATCTACATACTAGTACATACTGTAACAAGTTTACAAAGGATTTAATAAACACAAATTCAGAAAATCCGCAGTTTTTGTGATGTCATCTCTCACAATAAGTTAATTAATTAAATGTAAATTTGCCAATAAACTTCCATTATTGTAAAATACACAAATAGAATATTTTCTTTTATAAATATCCATTAATTACTTATTAAAGTGTATACAATTACTTTTAATCTTTACATTATACTGCAAATATTTTAGAATCTAAAACTAATGATTATTATTGATAATATCAAATATAAAATGGATTATAAACATATTAATTTTTGATCTTAGATTCAGTAAGTTAATATACAGTAGAACCTCGCTTAACAAGCACTTTGCATAACGAGCAAAATGAATTGTACAAAAAATGTCTCGCTTAACGAGCGACGTTTTGCATAATGAGTGACGATGACAAGAGAAGTCCCGGATTGCGCGCCTGCTACATCATTTTTAAAACATATTATGTGTATTTTTGAATATGTTTCACTATAGGAGTAAAAATCCGGAAATTTTGGAATGGATTAAACTCGTTTAACTATTTAAAATACGTTATACACTGTGGTAGATAAACTAAAAATTTCCATATATTAGCAATAATAATGTTCAATGTTAAATAGCTCATATGAAGGACTCAATAAACATGTAAATTTTCGATAAAGAAATACGCATTCTAACATGTTTACTTGTAATCAGGGGCGGCTCATTTACTGGGACTGGGCCCCATTTATAATGGTTATAGCTAGTCTTATAATTGTAATTTCATAAAATGTGTTTTTTGTAATTATTTTTTTTATCTATTTTGTGGAAATATTATATAATGCGACTTAGTACAGTTCCAACCTGTTTCTATTATCACCAGCCGCCACTGCTAGTAATATTGTTATCAAATTAATTGACACTAGGTGTATCTATAAGTATTTATAGATTAATTCGCTAGTGCACCTCGTGATCATTCACAAAGATGTCTTTCAACGGGAAAGTCGTGGTCGTGACTGGGGCGAGTTCAGGGATCGGGGCTGCAACGGCCATTCACTTCTCGAACCTCGGAGCTTCTGTGGTCCTAACAGGACGAAACTCTGAGAATCTTCAAGCTGTTGCGAAACAGTGCAACGAAGAGCGCACCAAATTCGTTGTAGCCGATCTGAATAAGGATGAAGATGCGAATACCATCGTGGCCTTCACGCTGAATGCCTTCGGTAAACTGGACATCCTCGTCAATAACGCCGGCATCCTGGAGATGGGCACCATCGAAACCAGCGACGTCAATCAGTACGATCGCATCATGAATACGAACATGCGTGCAATCTATCATTTGACCACGGTCGCCGTGCCGCATCTGATCGAAACTAAAGGAAATATTGTCAATGTGTCCAGCGTGAATGGTATCAGGGCTTTTCCGGGAGTTTTGGCCTATTGCATTTCAAAATCTGCTTTGGACCAGTTCACCCGTTGCATCGCTCTGGAGTTGGCGCCCAAACAGGTCAGGGTGAACAGCGTCAATCCCGGTTTGATCATTACAGACATCCACAAGAGGTCTGGAATGAGCGAAGAGCAGTACAAGGCTTTCGTGGAACGCGCTAAAACCACCCATGCACTTGGAAGACCTGGAAAACCCGAAGAAGTGGCTACTACGATCGCATTCTTAGCTGGCGATGGGGCAAGCAATATTACGGGTGCCACACTTCCTGTTGATGGTGGAAGACACGCCATGTGCCCAAGATAAATCGAATTATACTGTAAATAAAAAAAATGTAAATAAAATTATGTTTCGTTATAAATTGGTTGTAAAATACATGGTTAAAGTTGATTACATTTATAAAATAAATTTCTTGAAATCTTTCATATTTTTCCTTTTGTATTCAATTCGTAACAACCTTCATAGAAAATGAATTAAATTAATATTGATACTATAAGATAAGAACAAACCTAAGTAGAAAACAAATTCACCTTTTACAATGCAAACCAATATTTACGCTTCAAGGTTAAATATTTACTTCAATTCTTGCATATGTTATTTTGAAGAGTTACAAGTTAAATAATTAGATTCATTCAGTTTATATTTCTTCATGCTTTTGTACAAATTTAATGCCCATCATGTATAAGGAAAACTCGATGTTCTAATAAGTATTGATAATACTTGATAAAGATACGTGTAGTCATTTATTTTGTTTATAGTGCCTGTCAAAATGGCCTTAAAATTACCGTTTGCTGGCAAAGTAGTTTTAATAACAGGCGCATGTTCTGGAATCGGAGCTGCCACAGCTCAGCTCTTCTCTAGGTCAGGTGCATGTCTGTTCATGTGCGGTCAGAACAAGGATAACCTTGCGGCAGTTGCAGACAAATGCATTCAGAAGCCGGAAACCTTTATAGGAGACCTGACCTGCGACGATGATATCAGAGACATAATAAAATCAACCATAAAGACCTTCGGCAAGCTGGACGTCCTGCTAAACGTTGCCGGTATTTTAGAGAGCGGCAACATTGAAAACCTAGATCTGTGTCACTACGACAGAACTATGGCTATAAACACGAAAGCCGTCTATCATCTATCTTCACTGGCCGCTCCGCATCTGATCAAGACAAAAGGGTGCATCGTAAGCGTGTCCAGCGTGGTCGGAATACGATCATTTCCCAATGTTTTGGCTTATTGTATGTCAAAAGCGGCAGTGGATCATTTTACAAGGTGCGCCGCCTTGGAGCTGGGTCCGAAGCAGGTTCGAGTGAACTGCGTTAATCCTGGTATGATTGTGACGAATCTGCACAAGAGCGGTGGAATGTCCGAGGAAGCGTACGAAAAGTTCAAAGAGAGTGCAAAGAACACGCATGCCTTGGGCAGGGCTGGTCAACCAGAAGAAGTCGCAGCCGCCATGCACTTCCTTGCGAGCGACGATGCAAGCTTCATCACCGGTGTATCGCTTTCCGTGGATGGAGGCAAACACGCCATGTGTCCAAGATAAATATGCTATGTCACTGACAAATCAACCAGTTTCCAATCAAACATTTGACAGTTCTCATCGATGATCAAAATTCTCCGTGTCCGAAATCTGCAAAATTCTACTATGTTTCTACAAATATAAAATGTCCAAAGTAACAGAACCAACGGCGCCAACCTTGTTGTACTTCTAAACGTTTGGTTCCAGAGAGAGGTCATACAAATCCATATAGGTCAGGCCGGAGTCCAAATAGCGAACGCCTGCTGGGAATTGTACTGCCTGGAGCATGCGATCCAACCGGACGGATTGCTTTACCAGCCGTACCACTGCGCTAACGTAGACACCAGTTACAACACCTTCTTCAGCATTACCCCATCAGGAAAATGCGTTCCCAGAGTGTGCATGATAGATCTGGAGCCGACGGTCATAGGTTGATTATTATACAATTAGCAAAATCGAATGGAAATAACGAGACAATGCAATTTTGCAGACGAAATACGCACCGGCCACTATCGCAACCTCTTCCACCCCGAACAGCTGATGACCGGCAAAGAGGATGCGGCCAACAACTTCGCGCGCGGCATGTATTCTGTGGGCAAGGAGATGCTGAACCTGGCTCTGGATAGGATCAGAAAGGTAGCGGACGACTGCAGTTCTCTGCAAGGCTTCATCATATTTCGATCGTTCGGAGGAGGCACCGGATCAGGCTTCACAGCCCTTTTACTTGAGAACCTGGTCAAGGACTTTGGGCGCAAGAGCAAGTTGGAATTTGCCATTTATCCAGCACCGAAAGTAAGCTGCTTCTATCCATTGGAAATTTGATTTTATACTCAACTTGTAGATTTCTCCGGTTATTGTGGAACCTTACAACGCCGTCCTGACAACTCACAGTAGCATGGAATACGAAGACCTTGCTTTCATCATGGATAACGAAGCAACATATGATATCCTCGGACGAAATCTGGATGTTCCCAGGCCGACTTATACAAATCTCAACAGATTATTGGCTCAGGTTTGTTCATCATCAAATTGTTCTCTTATTTTATATTCTTACTATAAACTGTAAATTTTAATCTTCTAAATTTAATTTCAAATAACATGATCCAACTTGAAGTAAAAATAGTCATCAGTCCTAATCAAGAGTCCATGTTACAAATTCCTACTAGTATTCTAACAATTATTTTAGGTCGTGTCAACAATTACAGCATCGTTGCGATTTGAAGGTGCTGTGAATGTTGATCTGACCGAGTTCCAAACCAATTTAGTGCCATATCCTCGCATTCACTTCCCGCTGATGACATACGCACCTTTCGTGCCCATATCCAAGGCTTATCATGAGCAACTAAGTGTTGCTCAGTTGACCAACTGCTGCTTCGAACCGGAAAACCAAATGGTCAAATGCGATCCGAGGAACGGCAAATACATGTCGTGCTGCTTGCTGTATCGTGGCGATGTTACACCGACGGACGTGAATAACGCCATCACGAACATAAAGAACAAAAGGTCCATTATGTTTGTCGATTGGAGTCCAGCTGGATTCAAAGTAAGACAACTCAAACTGTATCCATACAATGCATCTTACAAATGAAAATTCTAGGTGGGTATAAATTACCAACCTCCAACTACAGTTCCCGGTGGAGACCTGGCGAGGGTGGACAGAGCCGTGACGATGCTCTCCAACAGTACTGCGATCAAGGAGGCCTGGAGTCGCATAGTACGCAAGTTCGATTTGATGTACAAGAAGCGGGCATTCGTTCATCACTTCGTCGGCGAAGGTATGGAGGAAAACGAATTCAACGAGGCCAAGGAGGATTTGTTGGCTCTTGTTATGGATTATAAAGAAGTTGCCAGCGATTAAATTCCCTTTCGAAATTTTATTGTACCAAAAAATTATTCCACATTTCCTATCCTGCTAAAGGATTCGCGTGTATCGTTATGCTGTTTATTTTTGTGTCCGTTGTTGGTTTAAATTTCTTCGGATGTACGGGCAGTTTTTCCAGTTCATCTAATACGTCCAGTCCATCTATAACCCTACAAATCGATATATGTTATATAAATTGGTCAAACATTAGGTTCAAATTGTATTTACCTTCCAAAAAGCGTGTATTTTAAATCTAAATGTGGATGGGCACCGTAGGTGAAGAAAAATTGGCTTCCATTCGTGTTGGGGCCGTTATTTGCCATGCATACCATCCCTCTCTCATTGTGCTGAAAAGTATAAAAATTAGAAATCTTACTACATTTCAATCTAAACTAAAGAAACTAAAACCATAAACGTTATTACATATGAATGTAAAGTGTATAAGTAAATCTTTACATTTACAATTTCGTAAATTGATAGAAACTATTACTTTTTTTGAAAATTGGCTAGCATCGAAGTTAAGAGATTTGAATTTGAAAACAAAATATGAATGTTTATATGTGTAATATACTATATTAAAGAATGAAATCATGACCTAAGAATCTGGTTGAATTTTAAAGACAACTAACTACAAACTTTCTGTCCATAATCTGATTGTTTTTTCCCAATTAATAATTCTTTATATACACTAAACAATGCACATTCATTAAAAATATATGAAAATAGCAAATTTAAGGTTCATATTTAACAATGCACCAAAAACTTTCAAAATACAACTAAAAGCAGTGTGGAAAAATAATATATAATGAAATTTCATGCATAGATCAATAAAATGCAATCAACTTGTGCACTCAATAAATCTCATTCCTAATATAATAAACTAAAATTTTCTTCATTATAAAAGATAACAAAAGTATATACATACTTTTAATTCATCTTTAAACTCATCCTCGAACTTCTTCCCCCAAATGGAAGTGCCTCCTTTCCCTGTACCAGTCGGATCACCAGTTTGAACTATGAAACCTTTGATGTTTCTATGGAAGAGGCACCCATTGTAATAGTCACTGGCGCACAGGGCTAAAAAGTTTTCACAAGTCTTTGGACAAGCTTCACAATACAACTCCACTTTCATGTTCCCCAAGTCTGTATGGATTGTTACTGACTGAAACAATTTATTATAAATGATGATGAAACAATACTGATATAATAATTACAAACCATTTTATTCAAGATATTACAACTCTTTACTTCTGTTTACCACTGTTTACTTCTACGCCAAAAATGAGGTTATGCCAGTTTATAGTATTTTCTTCTTCTTAATTTCAAGTTCATCTTCATTTTTTATTGTTGGCAGCTCTTAAAATTTCAAATGTGTAGACAATGTGGATACATAATTAAATTTTATTCATTAATTTACTGATTATTGTTATTTCCATTTACAGAGATTAATTATTTTAATTACTCGCGGATCTTTTTTCCATGGTTTCATTTTTTTGTGTTAAGTTTTCTTGCAGGTACGTATTTAGAAATTGGCAACAATAGTTTGAAAGTTTCAAAACATAAACAGTGATAAACATCCATTGTCTTTTTTTTGTTATATTAGCATGTGGTTTCGCGAATTGTAGTGATATTTGTACAGAATTTTGGTTAATTGCGAAGATACGTGCCAACTAATCAAGTGCAGATCAGTAAGTTCAGAGGACAATGCAATTTTTCGAAAAGGAAAAATGTTTAGTCATAAGAAAAGGCATAGTCGCTTGCCTGGCAGAATATCATCAGTGATTGATAATAAGTTTGTATACAAAGGTATGCTTTCCACTACACTAAAAAAGTAAATGGTAGTAATTTTAGATGTAAATAAATAAACAGAAATGTAGTTCATATTTCTCTATTCTTATTAGATGGATACAAGTTGAAGAAGGAAATTGCTGATATTGTTCAAAAGGATATTAAGTTCTCCAATAACTTATTTGTAAAGCTAATTGATATAAAACTACATACCAAAGATGCTGGAAGTAAGTCTAAAAATGCCTCTAACCGACATCTAAGAGGGGTATCTCAAAGCAAAGAGGAGTCACCAGACCCTTGTTTCAGTCATAATTCTAAGAGGATTCCTAAAAATAAACTGGACATACAATCAGTATCAATGATGACCAAGTCAAAAAATAAATCAAAACCTAAAGAAGAAGTGCCCTCCACTCAAACCATTAGCAAGAAGAAGAAATGGAAACGTTCCAATGTAGTGGATTGCAGTTTAACACCCATCACATCTAAACATCATTTTTTTACCGGCTACACTATTCCAACATTGCATCCAACATTAACTAGAAATAAATCTAGACTTCAAAATATTGAAGATGCTCACCTTCATTGCAGATCTACTTTAAAAACGAATATCCATCAACCTGAAACAACCATTTTAAATACAGAGAGTAATAACAAACTTTTGGATAATTCTCAACAAGTCCAATTAGAAGTAGGCTGCAGTAAAGTTGATGCAGAATCTAAACAAATAAGTGCTGTAAAGCCGGTTCAAAGAGTTCAAAGAAAAACGCGTCAAAATTCGAGCGACGATAAAGCAATTGAAGAGAGATCAATTTCCAGCTGTAATGCAAAAAATATCATCAGAAAACCTGAAATTTCGAAGCTTGATGCTCAAACTAAAAATAAAGAGAGAAAATTGAAAACAACTCAGTGTAAAGTGCCAATTGAATCGAAATATGCAATAACCGGTAAAACTGAGCTGCTGGAATCTGATGGTAATTTTATGAAAAAAAATTTCAGGACAACTATAACTTTGAAGTCTGTACCGATTTCTACCGGGAGTTCTAAGAAAAAACGGCGCAAATCTACACAGAATAATGAGGCTATAGAATCAGAAACGAACCTTCTCACATCCAATAAATCTGAGAAACCAGAGTCTGTGAAAGACGAGAAACCAGACGCGGTGTTATCATCAAATTTAGCAGAAGGAAATATCGTTGAAAATAAACCGGAGTTTGACAAGAGCAAGAAGAAACGTCGTAGATCGACAATCGAGGATACGGTAGCCGAGTTAAGTGTTAATATTGAAACTAAGAGAAAACGTGTTTCAACATCAAGAACTTTAGATCAGAAAATTGCAGATGCTTTCAAAGATACTGCACATGAAGAAATTCCTACTAGCAATAAGAGCATAACAAAACAACGCAGGTCTACAAGACACAATGACACAGTTCAATCCAAGATTGATGAAACGAAGATCGAACCTGCAAGGAATAAACGTCGCCGGTCGATAAAGGATGATAATATAGGTGAATCTAAATTAGAAATTGATAAGGATACAATCAAAATAAAACCGGTTAACAAAATAACTTCAAACATTGTAGACAAACAAATAGCAACTTCCAACAATTATACAAAAACTGAACCAAATCCTGAAACGGTGCCTAGTAGGAACAAGAAAACAAGGCATCAGTCGACACCGTTAGAAAAACTTGAAACTGAATTACAAAATAAGAGAAATGACAATGATGGAAAAAGTGTTGATAAATTGACATCAAAGACTAAGCATAAAAAAATAACAGTTGGCGATTATGTTACAAAACCTGAACCAATTTCTGCGCCGGTTAACAAAAATAAAAGAAAGCATCGGTCGTCGACGCAATTGGAAGAACTTAAACCTGATAATAAAGATAAATTTGATATAAGACTTGATAATAAATTTACGACAGGTGCAGTGGATAAGATGCATGTTAAGAAGAAAAGAAGAGGGCAGTCGTCACAATTTGAAGATAACTTTGAATCTGAATTAAACAAGGAAGAAGATCAACTTGATAGAAAATCTATTTATAAACTTGCATCAAACAATATAGAACAGCAAATAACACGTGATGTTACTAAAACTGAAGCAAATACCATAAATGTTAAAAAGAAGAAAAAAAGGCGGCCGTCGACACAATTAGAAGATAACATTGAATCTGTTCCTAACACTAAACCAACTCTCATAACTGCTAAAAGGGAAAGGCGAAAGTCGTCACAATTAGACAAACTAGAATCTGAATTAAAGAACGAAGAAGCAGATCTGGAAGGGAATTCTGTTAACAAACTTGCATCAAATAATATAGACCAACGGATAAGACTTGTCGATGTTCCTAAAACTGAACCAATTCTTATACCAGGTAAGAGAAAAAGCAGGCGTAAATCGACACAACTAGAAGACAATCTTGAAACTGAATTAAAGAAGGAAGAAGCTGATTTCGATGGAAATTCTATTAACAAACTTACTACGAGGAAAAGCAGGCGGAAATCGACACAACTAGAAGACAGTCTTGAAACTAAATTAAAGAAGGAAGAAGTTGATCCCGATGGAAATTCTATTAACAAACTTGTATTAAATATCGTAGACCAAGCAATATCATCTGACGCCGATGTTCCTAAAACTGAACCAGTTCTCATACCAGCTAAGAGGAAAAGCAGGCGGAAATCGACACAACTACAAGACAATCTTGAAACTGAATTAAAAAAGGAAGAAGCTAATCTCGATGGAAATTCTGTTAACAAACTTCCATTAAGTAATATAGACCAACGAATAACATCTGTCGTCGATGTTCCTAAAACAGAACCAATTCCCATACTAACTAAGAGGGAAAGAAGGAGAAAGTTAACACAATTAGAAGACAATCTTGAATCTGAATTAGAGGAGATAGAAGCTGGTCTTGATGAAAAACCTATTAGTAAACCTGTTCTTAAGAAGAAAAATAAGAACCAAACATCCAAACTGAATGATTTTAACATAAAAGATACTAATATAATTAATTCAAATACTGAAGACCAAAAAACACGAAATTACATTGTTGATACTAAAAGTGAAACGTTTTCTTTAAGTGCCAGATCAAGTAGTTGCGAGTCGAAGTATGGGGAGAGGATACTTGATTCTATGTTAAAATGCAAAAAGGATGAACCTGCTAACGTTAATGATTCCAAGAAAGATATCAGTAATGATATAAATCTTTATAAGTCGAAGAAGTTTGAAGACGCAACTGATTCTAAAGTAAAGGGAACTAAAGAAGAAGTAAAAATGAAATCTCTTTATGTAAATATTCCGAATATCTTAGACCATCAACATGCCATTAAATCAATTCATGTAGGTCGAAAGGATAGGAAAATTAATCGATACTCTGGACTGTATAGTGACGTATTTAAATTTGATGCAGATCATAATAAGAATAAAGCTGTTACAACATTAGCTTCTATTGCCAAAGAAAAACATGTTAATGGGTCCTTAGATAATATTAGAACCAAGACTAGTTCACGCAAATTACTACACAATTATAATTATAAAATTGAATCTCATAATGAAGTTGACGATAAGATAATTGTACCTAATGTAAGCGTTAGTAAAAGGAAAGAGAAATATCGAGAAAGAGAAATTAATAATGATAAAACTGCCACCAAATGCAGTCAACCTAGACAAGATGTTATCATGGTTGATACTCGTGCACCTAAAGCTGAAGTTTCGTTCAATAATGAGAAAATAGAAAATTCGCAAATTAACTGTGTTCTTGGTTTGGAATGTGAACTACCTGCTGGTATTCAAAGTGAATCACCTTTAGGATCTCCAACTGATATTGTAAAAAGCATATCCAATAATAACAATGAAGGGAACATCAAATGCACTACGGGGATTTGCGAAGCTACCTTTCGCATGTTTAAATCTGCTTCTGATAACAACATTTTAACTTCTAAGAAGGTTCACGATAAAAGAAGTGAAAACTTAAGCACAAGTGAGCTAACAAATCGTAACGAGGTACAACAGGATACGCAAATTAAATCCAATACATTAACATATATTTCAACGTCGATTCCTCTTGAACAAAGTGAAGTCGATGGTTCTACGACACGAAGGCAATTAGGTTCGTTTAAAATTCCTAAGAAAACTCAAATCCCGAAAGTATCAAATGACGAAAAGAGTTTGGATCATCCGCAAGTAAATCAGTCTTCTACAGGTGAGTGTGCCTTTCAGAATCCGGGCCAGAAAAATGTGGTATCCAAGCGAATACCGTCAATCATCAAGTCCACGGATGTAAACTCAGACTTGAGATCGAAATTAAATATGCTTCGTTCGATAAAAGCAAACAGAGCGTACGATGAAATATCTATATATGCCTCGTAAGTATTAATATTAGTTTTTGTTAGCTGTTCTGAAGTTCACGCTTTATTTTCTTGCTTCAGTACTGAATTGGAATCTGATCTGGAGCTGGACGTTTCACCAGAAGATTTAGAAATTTTTGATAATTTAGAAGAGGACACGAATGAGAGTAAAGTTCAAAAAGATTTCCTCAATAACTCTTCCATTGGTCAGCTTGTGGGTGCGCCACTTTGCACATCAACTCCAATTGTGCCAAATCCTATCGTGACCAATTGGCTGCACGGATGCAAACCGTCCTCGAAAGGGGAAATGATTCCGATTCTGAAGATGACATGCCGCAGCTTTAACCATTGCGTAAAACCGGGATGCACATATTTGCATTCCTTACCACGAATTTTTTTTGAAATTATGTTCGAGTCTACACATGAGCAGTTGACCACAATGACCTGGTTCCTGTTTAAAAATTGCAATATGTTGGTTGCGAGGTTCGTGATACCGGTGATGTGTCAGGTATACTCCGCTAACAACGACGACTCGGCTTTAATATATCTCGTGCATCAATTATTTAAGACTGGCTCCAGCACGACACCAGACAAGTTTTTTTTTATACAACAAATTCTAACTGCGCTTAGTTCAATGTTGAACCATAAGTACACATTCTCTAAGGCAGTGCAGACATTGCTCCATAGTAAATTATACTACAGAAATTATTCACTCCCTGACATTCTGTTGAGCTGCATATTGATGAAACAGGACGTTCTCAAGCACCACTGGTCTTTGATCAAATTAGTTTTGAACAACAACGTGAATATTATAAGTCCTCAAAATATTAACTGTATCCTGGAGGAGACTATTGCCGAGAACTATGAACATCTATACAACGATGTGTACAGATATCTGCTTCAAGATAATCCTACCAATATACTCAAAGTTAGACCTCAACTCTTTCTGGATTTCAAGACGCATCATCGTTCTTTTGAAAAATACCAGACTCCTATACCTGCGCGTCCACCCTCTGCAACCTCGTTCTCCATAATCTCAAACGTATCGGAAATTTCATACAATGAAATATCCGTGGAAGATGCTAAGATTATAGCAACTACAATCTCGGATGGGACAGTTGCTAGCTTTATCGATGTAATTAAGAAAAATTCCGTCGATGATTTTCATAGTTCCGTCGTGACGCATTGCATATCACAGCTAACGAAGGAAGACCTCTTTCTAGCATTCCATAATTTTTTACTGGAAGTCGTTGAATATTCAAGTAAGTAATACTTTTTTTAAACATTCTAAAAAAAAATCAATTTCATTCTCGTACACGAAGATGCACACAAAAGTTATAAATTTTATAGCAGAAAGACTAAGTCACTTTGGTCCAAAGTCAATATGAAAGTTGTGTAAACTTCTTATTTATTTAGTGGAATTATCTATGGGAATTTCAGTAAGAAATACTAAATTTTATTTTATTATTTAGTAAATGTTATGTTTTGCTTTATTTTAATGAAGATGCACAGTACAAATTTGAGGTAATAAAAATCTGTAAAATTATTAACAATTTAAATTTGCGTAAAATTCTTATATGTTATGAATTTATTTTCTTTTAAATGTACACTTTTTTTAATTTTAGAGGTGAATGAGTATTGTCCAAAGCTTTTCAAACTCTTGAATAACTTGATATTTAACTCGCTCCTATATTATAATATATACAAATTGTATAAGGAAGCTGGAGAAATGCTGGTTAGTGTGTCCATCGATGAGTTGCTGCAGTGCAAGGTAAATATAATACATTCGAGTAACAATTACAATCCGTGATAACTGAGTGCAAATTTAAAATTTTTAGTGGTACGCGAACAATAACTACAAAAGCAATATGCAAACCACTGACCAGAAGTTAGTTTTCATCATAAAGTTCTTGGCGAGAGGTAGATATTTCGAGGAGGCTTTCCAGTTGATCACTCGCCCCGGTAAGTGCCTTCAGTTATTCTCTTTTCCTTGAATATAACATTTTACAACTTCAGATTTCGAGTTGGATAATAAATGCAAGAAAGAACTGTACAACTACAAAACGATCATAGTCAAAGAATTCATAGATTTGACGCTCGACGATGATTACCACGATTACCGCAATATTATAGATTACTTTATCAAAAACTATCCAACTGTTTGCCACGATTCAGGTTCGCTAAAATTTATAATAATGCAAATATCGTTTACTCACTTACATTTTCAGGAATTTGGAGATCTTACAATAAGTATTTAATAAAGCATTTAAATGAAAACAGAAGCTCGTCAATTTTACAGGAATTTGAATTTCTTAAAAAGAATTATGCTAACGTACGTCCGTTCGTGCTGCGCGCTGTTTTGGTGGAGCTGTGGAAGAGAACGGGTATCCTCAGCGTATTTCCACTATACGAATACTGTTGCAAAAGGAAAATATACACCCAGCAAATTGTGAGCGGTCTACAAATAATGCGTGATCGTAGATGGATGAATGTAATCTTTGGTTTCAGGGTCTTGAAGGACATATCACCGTGTGGAGCAATACATTGGTTGAAGAGGTGACCATCACCTTTCAAGCTTTCATACTGAAGATGCTCAAAGGCAAAACTATTCCTCGTCCTTTGAAAATGGTTGTGCAGAATTCGGAAGAAACGGACGAGGACGATATGATACCTAAATGTTTTAAAAATAGTGTTTTAGATGCCCAGTTAAAGATTATACTGGGTTTAAGCAAAGCTAGTCCTCCCATATCTTTAAAGGCATCGCCGATTATACTTCTCAATTATGAAATTGTTAAACGATCTATGGAGATCATGCGTCGTATGATTCCGATAAACGCTGTATAAAATATGCGTTCTTCTATACTAAAAATCGAGTTTTTAGATTTAAAAATAAACTTCATTAAATTTAATATCACTACAGTCCGTAAAAGCGCTCTCTTATATTATTTTTTATATATTTATATATAAATTGTTGATTAGTTTATACGTTATGCTAATACTAACGGATTATGAATAAAATTGTTTTATTTTTAATGTTTATTAAATTTATTATATTCAATATGGGAATGTTATATCTATACTATATTACTGAAAGTTTATAAGGACTATTCTAAACTCTTTAACTGTGGAAATTATAATTATCAAGGCCGTCTTATCAATTAGAACATGGTTTCCCAAATCTTTCCTTCGACGGAACACTTGGTAAATCCGTTTATTTTGTAGGATAGTTAATAAAACATAATGAACAAAAATTGGTTGGTTTGGTGTTTGCGACAACTTTTATGCAATGGAACAACTTTTATATTGGAACATTGTACAAATTTGAGCTTAATTGGTTGCCTATTATATTTCTGAATTACTTGAATGTTATATATTTAAATCTACATTACTTCAGAATTGTATATTTCTTTCATGATATTAATAATTTCAATCTGTGCATGTAAGAAAATAAAGAAAATGAGACAAAAATCAAATCATATTTGAACTGAAAATATTAATTCGTAACTAAATTTAGTTTTTTTTTTTACTTCTAAAAAGAAGACGAGCACATTAATAGGAGTTCCCAATAAAACTTCTGTTCTAATATATAAATTGTACCATATTATTTTGTCATTATAAATATTCCCATTGAGAAATAAAGATATCGAATTTAAACTATTTAGAACCAACTATTTCCAAGTATTGAAGAATTATTTGAAGTAAAGAAACCTTGAATAAACTCTGAGCTCTATAGATTTTCATTCGCGAATGGCAGTAATATTTCTTGATTGTGCTGAACTGTAACTGAGTATGATTAGCGACATCTGTATGTAAAGTTCAATAAATTTTGTTGATTAAATTACAGATGTACGTATTTTAAATTATATGTCTGTACTTAATTAATATATATCATTCATAAGGTGTTGGAATATTTCAGGGAATGTTAAGTTATTCAAATTCTTGTCTGAGGCCATCTATTAGAGTATAGAGAAAGCATAACATCGATCTTGAAGGTGATACAAGTAGTGACATAAGTATAGACGGCGCGTGGCAATCATTGCAAGTTTTTTGTGAAGCCAAGCCGACCACCATTTTACATTGCATTGTAGATTTCCAATGGTGAAAGTCGCTCCGAGCAAGTGCAGGTAATACCGATGGACGATCGCGCCGATGCACTGCGAGCCATGCAGATCTGCAGGTTCTGTTTGGACGAGAAGGGACCGTTTACTAATATCTACGTGAAGGATAGCAGAGATGGAAAGCAGTCAACCCCATTGCCACTACAGATTATGGCCTGCGTCGCTATCGAGGTTTGTTGTAAACTTTTATCTGGAGGTGAAGGAAATGGTTCGAATTACGAAAGTTTTCGCGCCGACTTGTCACCAAACTATAGCGAACTGTTTTATTTTCATTAATCTATATGTTCTGGATACGATTAGGTGTTCTGCACGGACGGTATGCCACAGCTGATCTGCAATCCTTGCAGATCGCAAACGATCGGAGCGTACAATTTCAAGACGACCTGTAAGAAGAGCGACGACGCGCTGAAACTGTTTCTGGCTACCGGAAATTTGAATAAACCAAACTCGAGGAGGTCATGCAAGAGGGAAAGATCTGGCAGCACTGAGAAGATCAGAAAGTCCAGAAGGATATTGTCCAGTCCAGTCCCAGATGAGGAGGTTGAAGCAAAGAAGGTGGAAATTTTGGAACTAGTCAATGACGAGGTGACTGAATATAAATTAGACGAAGATGCAATAATACTAGATGATGACACCATGGAGGACAAGTGTTTATCATCTGAGGAAAACACTTGTGGTATGTCATCTGAGAAGGCGGTTGTTGTTGAGACGGCCGTGTTTCCTTGTTCCGAGTGCGAACGATCGTTCCCACTGCAGCAGCTCCTGGAGTTGCACATGAAGAATCACGGGAGGGAGAGGTGCTTTCAATGCGATGAATGCGAAAGGAAGTTTTTCACGAAGTACGATTTGGCTAAGCATAAGGCGACGCACACTACCATGAAGCCTTTCGAGTGCGCCGCCTGTGGTAAGCAATTTGCAAGGGAATCGCTGCTACACAGACACGAGAAAATTCACGTGGATTTGCCCAAGTACCTTTGCAGTCATTGTGAACGGACGTTCCTTACTAGAGAGGATTTGGATAATCACTCGGAGAAGCACAAGAAAGTAAGACCATACACGTGTAGGGTTTGCGACAAGGGTTTCGTCTTCAAGCAAGGCTTGGAAAGGCATGAAATGACGCACGCCGATGAAAAACCGCACAAGTGCAACTACTGCGAAGCCAGCTTCACGTCTCCCATTAAGCTTACCCGTCATATCACCTCGCATGCAGGTCTAAGACCTTACCCGTGCAAATTGTGCGGCAGGACATTCCTCTTGTCGCATCACTTGACCAGGCATATGCGGAGCCATTACGCTAACAAATCGCTCGCCGTAGAGCCCGTGGGGCAGCACAAATGCGACGTCTGCAGCATGTCGTTCAGGAGAAAAGATTCACTTATCAATCACAGCGCCATCCACTCTATGGTCAATCTGAAATGCGTGATCTGCAACACCGCATTCCAGAACGCTCAGGAGGTTAAGGACCACATAACCACACACCTCGCTGGTTTACCCTTCCCCTGCGACAAATGCGACTACTCCTTCGAGAGTCACGACCAGCTGGAGGAGCACGAGTTGAAGCATGCCGAGATGGAATACGAGGAGCAAATCGAACAGGAGGTATCTCAGGAGGCAAGGAACGACGTGATCGAGTTTGTGGAGGAGGAATTCGAAGACGACGATGAAATCACCGAGTTTACGATTACCAATGACAACGATGATAATCCGCTGGTTGTGCCGAGTCCCCGCAAAGGAAAAAGTAAATCTTACAACCAGTTCTTGAACTCCGAGTTCGATGGAGAAATGGATCAACACGAGACCATGATCGTGGAGGAAACGGATTTCCCTAGCAGCGATACTCTGATGTTGGAGGAGATTAAGCCCATCGTCCGATCCGAAGGGACTAAAGTGTACACGCGAAAGTCCATCGCGGAAAAACCGAAATTGCCCGATCTAAAGTCGAACGAATCGTTCATTGGCTCCAGCAGCAGCAGCTCGAGCGGTGGTACCCTTCAGTTAGATTCGATAGACTTGAACCACGAGATGATGAAGGATCTGCCTGATCGACAGTTCGTCGATATGAAGATCGGCGAGAAAACGGTGAGGGTGCAAAAGCTTATAATGACGAAGGCGGAAATCGAAGCGATGGCCAAACAGGGTAAAATCGAAATCAAAGGGGACACGATTATCTTCAACAATAACGGCAGATCTTTAAAAGAGACGCCTAAAAATATCACGATAGAGGGCATAATTGATGATCCGAAACCGATGGTTCTGAAACCTCCGATTATGAAAACGTACGTCAAGAAAACACCCAAAAAACAGTAGTTACTCAAATTATATCATTGAATTTGATTATTCTTTACAATTTCATTTTTAGAAATTGTATTTTTTTATATACACATATATATATTTAGGAAAGATTATATGAAATTCAATTATATTGTACAATAATTTATTTTGTGTCAAATCAGATATTTCATAATATATTAGTTACTTTATACATGTACATTTTATTATTCATTTAGTGTTTAATATTCAATATTATTTATTTTTCTTTGTGTAGATACAGTGCATTGTCTTCTACACTTTAAAGCTATTACATTTATGGGATTTCTGTTTGAACAAATGTAAGAACTTTTATTGTAATGAATTTAACAAACATATTAGTTGTTTATTGAAATTGTATATTGTTGTACATTAAATAAAATGTGTAATATATGTAGTTTTTTTAAATTTCACAAAAACAAATAAAAACAATATTGATTATATAAAAACTGATTTTAATGAATAAAATATAAACTTTGTATGCTCCAAAAGTTAGAGGGCGCTTATCAGATTTATTACTCAATTGAGGATGTAGGATGTAATATAGTGGACCAGTTCAGAAATGAATTATTGCACTCAATAGGATTAGGTTATTGACAGGGGACTAAAAACGTCGTGCCCTTGCAAATTTGAAAATCGAGTGGCGCCTCCTACAGTGGTCCCGATGGAACATTCAAACGACAGCAATATAACTGGCAGTGGCTATACAATAGATTTCTCATATGTCTTGGTCCCTTTGAGTTATTGAAAAACCATAAGAACAAGAAATTAAAATTTACTTTATTTAGTAAGAATCATGTTCCTTAAATCGCACAAAATATAATACAAAACTTAAAAATAAAAACAATATTTGAATGTGAGTTAATGATTATATAAGAAGAGGTTCTGATTATGATTGTAGCTTTCATAGAAAAATTGTAGAAGCGC